TTCCTTTGCCCAGCTTCAATTACCAAGCAGTTAGCAATCCTTGAACGTACCCAATTGTTCCATATGGATCAACTTGTGGAAATTTTGGATAAATTAGTGGGTATCTTTGCAGTTCTAATACGCTCAGTGGTAGTTTTTTATCTGAGTCAGAACATTGTATATTAATGGTTCACTCCAAATAATCCCAAGTTGATACTTCAATGTCATACTTAATGATAACCTCCTCCCAGTGAACCTTGGAGCACTACAAGATGAAATCCTGGAAAATGTCACATCAGTAACCCATCAGAATGTAAATCCTGCCTACGCTTTTTTTTAAAACTGTTGCCAGCATTTTGTGTCTGACCTCCAGTATGTGCCAAATTTTGTTTCTGACCCAGCAGATTGATTGCAGGAGTCAGCAATAGAGCCATCCAACAACAATTGCACACCACTGCCCTGTTCGCTCATGCCACCTTTGAGTTACCCCATGGCCCTCACAAGAATGTGACCCCAATGAATGAGCAATACAGGGTCATACTTGATCATAAATCTACAGAACAGCCTGATTTACTCACCTTGCACAATATTATGTGAGGAGTAGAAGACGTGTTCACCAGCAGGTTGGTCTACTAGCCAAACTGTTCCAATGCAGTTACAGCACTGGATCTATAATTACAAAAAATTGCCTGGCTAATTCCTGTCCACAAAAAGCAAGATAAATCCAACCTAATTGATTACTGCTTCTCCAGTCTTCAAGTTTAATTTGGATAAAACAAACAAGGGCAGGACTTATAAATGGTAGGACCCTGAGTAGTGTTGTCAAACAGAGAGACCTGGGCTCCAGGTACATATTTCTTTGAAAGTTGCATGAAAGGTAGGGTGGTTAAGAAGGTGTTTAGCATGCTTGCCTTCATTGCTCAGACCATTGAGTATAGGAGTTGGAAACATCATGTTGAGGTTGTACAATATGTTGGTGTGGCCATTTTTGGTGTGTTGTGTGCAGTTCTGGTCACCCTGCAATAGTAAGAATATTATTAAATTGGAGAGGATTTAGAAAAGATTTACCAAGATGTTGCCAGGACTGGAGGATTTGAGTTAGAAGATGGACTGGGACTCTTAACTGGAACATAGGAGGTTGAGGGGCGACCTTATAGATGTTTGTAAAATCATGAGGGTCATAGATAAGATGAATAGCAATCGTCTTTTTTCTAGGGTAGGGGAGTTCAAAACTAGGGGGCATATTTTTAAGGTGAGAGGAGACAGATTTAAAAGGGACGTGAAGAGCAACCTTTTTATGCAGAGGATGTTTCATACGTGGTATGAACTGCCAGAGGAATACTAGACGCAGATACAGTTAGAATATTTAAAAGACATTTAGATAGGTACAGGAATAGGAAAGGTTTAGAGGGATAATGGGCCAAACGCAGGCAAGTGGGACTAGATTTAGTTTGGGAAAATTGGTCAGCATGGACGGATTGGACAGAAGGGTCTGTTTTCATGCCGTATGACCCTATGACTGAGTGCAATGCTGTAAGAGGGCCAACTTTCACTTAAGACAAATTAAATTGAGGTTTGGTCTGCCCTCTTGGATATTAAAAAGGAACTTGCAATATCTCCTGATGTTTTGGTCAGCAGATTACAAGAGAAGACAAAAGAACAAGTAGTATTTTTGCTATTTATCCATTGTCGACTGTTGCTAGTTCTAATGCATAATACTGTATTTTCAGTTTTCCTTAAATATTATTTCAATTGAATTTTGGGAAGATACTGCCTTAAGTCTACTTCACAAACTCTGCTTTCTTGCCATCAATTTCTTCTATTCCTGTAAAATTGTCTTGCGTTGAACCAGACTGTTAGCAAAACTGATGTAACATTTGGGCCCATAAAGAGCTCTCAATAAGGCTGCCTCTTTCTACTTCGATAATGAAGTTTGTGAGGGAAGCTGAAGGTGATGTCTTCCCAATACTCAATTGAAATCATATGCAAGTAGAAAACACTGAATTGCAGTGGAACTGGCAACAGTCTACATTTCCTTCTTTTCTATTCTCTTCCTGTAGTCTGCATTAAAGGGAATTGTACAAGATTCTACACAAAATAATGTCAAAATTATGCAAAACACAAAACAGAAGATCCCTAATAGGACCCTCAACTATACACCTTATCTTACTTAGATATAAAATTAAATTTTCATAAGGACAAACATCAAAGGGAAAGGGAAGGGAGCAAATAATAGCAAAAAACGTATGCACATTTTAAGAAGCAGGTATGTTTTCAACGGTCAGTTTTCATTCTTTCCCAGTTGTCTATATATAATTGTAGAGAACATTACTTCTTGAGACAGTAGGAAATTAATTGTATTCACAGAGTGCCGAAATAGAGAAGTACCACTGGCAGAACCATACTACATTGTGAGCAGCCAAAACAACAAAGAAAATCCTGACAAAGAGAAGCTTGTCATTGAATATGTTGATTAGCCTGACAGCAATCAAACACATATTTTATAGCTTTACAAACTTAATATTGTCATAAAACAAAGGAGCATCACATATTTTGTCCAGAGAACAACACTAGCTGAAATCACTTCTGCACTTAGACTTATCTTTCTTAAAGATCTTTTTGTTACATTCCTAAGTTGGTGAATGACAAATTGTAGTTTGACCAGTTTGAAATTTGATAATTGGGTAACAATGTTTCAATGGTGTGCTTGGAGAAAAAGTCATGATATTCCCTGAAAGGCATTCCTCATAAGAAGGAGGATCAGGAGCAGGCAATTCAGCCCCTCGGGTTTGCTCTGCTCTTTAATACATTCATGGTTGATCAAATTTCAGCCTCAACTCTACTTTCCTGTCTGCTCTCCAAAACATTTTAACCCATCACTAATTAAAAATCTATGTCCTCCTTAGATTTATTCACTGTCTCGGCATCCACCGCATTCTGGGCAGTGAATTCCTTAGGTTCATGAACTTCTGAGAGAAGTAATTCTTCCTCATCTCTGATTTACACCCGCCACCTCTTTGCCTAAAACTATGACCTCTCATTCTAGATTGTCAATCCCGTTTAGCATCTTACATTCCTTAGATCTCCTCTCATCTTTCTAAACTCCAGCAACTATAGCCTAATCTGTTCCGTCTCTCCTCATAAGACATGGCTTTCATCTCTGGAAAAAATCTAATGAACCTTTTCTGAACCTTTGCCTCCAATGCAATTACATGATGACTCCTGCCTAATAGTAAACTGGTAACTGATAATTTGACTATCAATCGAATTCTTACCAATTTACACATGAATGAGCAGGTCATTTTTACAGTTGAACAGATTCCAAAAATGACAGTAAAATTCTCCAGATACTGGAAATTTGAAATAAGCCTGAAAATGCTGTAAACACTCAGCAGATTTGGCAGCATCTGTAGAGAGAGAAATAGGGTAATGGGCCGAATCTTCTGGAAGCAGCAATCACCATCAGATTACCACTCTTGATCCTAATTTATTCCATCAGGAACTATTGATGTAGTTCCTCATTTTTGTGTGACATGAAATTCTCAGTCTTTTCAGAAATGCGGAGCATACCTGAGATTGGCATCCTTCTACATTGCACTAGATTATCAGGGGAGGCCAAGAATATCCCTCTTAACAGCATTTACTGCCAGATTCTGGCAACATTCACCCAATAAAATGCTGAAACATTTTGAGACATACAAACAGCTTTTCACAGTGTTAGTTGTAAGAGGGCTTACAACAGCAAGTAGCAAGAGTGAGAGAGAGCATCAAACAGAGAAGCTTAGGCAAACCCTCTCTAGAGGAAAGTGTTTTTGTCAAAAGTGACCTCACAGAGGGAAAGGCAAAGGATTTTCTCAATTATATGTGAAATACAGGCTCAATTCCGTGTAAACACCCTTTTCTTAATTTAACTTTAATTCTCCATCATAAGATGAAAAGATGTAGAAATAGAAGTAGGCCATTCTGCCCATCCATACCACTTCACCATTCAATCAGGTCATGGCTGACCTGATGACACTCAACTCCACTCCTCTGCCTTTTCCTCACAACTCTTGATTCCCTTAATGAATAAAAATCTGTCTCGGCCAACTTTGAATATACTTAACAACTCAGCCTTGATGGCTGTCTTCAAAAAAAAAATTCCATAAATTTAACACTCTCAGAGAAGAAATTCATCCTCACCTGTCTTAAACGCTTGTAACCTGATGCCAGTGGAATAAAGAATCCCTGATTCAAGATTTACACTCCATCTGCTGAAGTCATGCATTACAAAGTGAATTATTATGAATGAGGTAAGGGGGTAAGGTACAGTTAGGTCAGTTTTATGATAGGTAGGTAGGGAGACAAGGTGGTAGAGTGATGATGGAAGGTGGGTAAGGTGTGTATCTGGGTCACGAGGGCTGTTAGCAAGATGGGCTTGTCAGGTCAGGGGGCAATAGGGTCAGGTTGGGATGCTGGGAGGCGCTGAGTGGTTGGGTTAAGTCAAGGAGGAATCCAAGTCAGGGGTTGGTTGGGGAAGGGTCTACATAGGCTTGGTTAAGGGGAATTGCATTTTTAGGAGGGGAGTTGTGGGTTTCAGGCAATTGGTGAGAGAAGTCAGAGTTCAGTTGTATAATCCCCAGGAGTTAAACACAGTTTTAATCTCTGTCTAATATTTACTAGGTAACTATCCAGGTAAATAAATTGGAAATGTCCATACATTCTCATTCTCAATCTGAGTGGGAGTTATTTACGTACAGCAGGAGAATTATCTGGCTGAAGTTTAAACTTGTTATGCAATTCACACAGATTCACAAAGTCAGTCTTTTCGTGTCTCTCCGCTTTAATTACGGATATTGCTATGACCGGTGATGTTCTACCTTGGTCTCTCGTTTCACAACCCTCCAGGCATCCTGATGCAATACCGTAGTTTCAGTAAAAAGATATGTTACAGTTGAAATACAGCACCACTGAAGTTTGTAAATCAACTATCAATCTGCAATTAAATATTTAACATATTTGAAGTAATTAGCGAAAAACAATCAAAAGGGTTTTTTTTAGAAAACGGAGTTATGAACTGGAATGCGATAGGTGAGTAGTAGATTCGATGTTGACTTTCAAAAGTGAATTGGATAAGTACTTAGTGTGGGTGGGGGAACGTGATAGGAATACAGAAACTAGTTGAAATGAAAATTAACAACATTCCGGGAAGTGTGGTCAAATATTCATGCATGACGTATTATGCTTCAATCCACAGCTACTTGCACAAGTAAAACTGAACTACGGGATGAAATCCAAAACCAGCTGACAAGCTTCAAGCCATCCGATTGTTTTTCCGAGCTCTGAATATTGCTTGTAAATCAGATGCAAGTTTTTTTTTCTCTGGTTGTAAACGGCAGTTCCTTTGGGCATCTTACAAGTGATTAGAAACTCGATTTCCAAAAATTGCTGAGGAAGCAAAGAAACAACATACATAGGAGGATCGTCGGTCTGTGTGCTGTATGATCCCATGTCCAGGTCAACTACAAATTAATTATAAAGCAAACGACGAACTGAACTAAGATTTTAACGACTCGAAATAGATCACAATCGGGCTACTTTGATATCTGAGAATTTGCCAATAAGATTGTGCACTGTGTCCTGTGCTGAAAGAATGGGTGCAGAAACTGAAAAGGTGCAGCCTTGAGTCGACTCGCAGGTAATATTCACACAAGTAGTTTTTAGAGTTTAGAGTCTTTATTCAATAGGATAACTAGTTCTCAGCAGCAGTGAATTTCTCGCATGAACAATAGGTTTCGTAATTCTGCCTCTAAATATAATCTGCCACGTGAAGTATTTCACATGCGGCGAAGAGTAAAGGAGGGCGAGTTCAGGTTTCAGGGAGATGCACATTTGAAGGAAGGAAGTGGAAGAAATCACATTTGAAAAGGGACTGAAAGAAGCCGACAGAGAACTACGGGTGAAGAAAGAAAGACGCTACCTGAAAATATAACAGATTACTTTCAATAACGAATATCAAAAACGGGAAATGAATAGAACTGAAGAGGAGAAACTTGCAGGTCTAAGGGAAAAGAGGAAGGGAATGGGACGAATTAGCATTTTCACTAAGCTCGCACCAATATGATGGGCCAGTGACCTCCTTCTGTGCTTTTGGGATTTCATGGGCCTAAAATGGAAAACCGGAAGCAAATAAATGAAATAATACCTTGACTTGAGGCAACGGGAGGCATTATGACAGAAACTGTGAAAATATTTGTGAAGTGCACAGAATGGTTGAAAAGTAGAAATATGGCAGAAACACAAATTGTTAATGTAGATAAATTTGACTTAAGCACTTTTTTTTATTCATTCACAGGATGAGGGTGTCGCTGGCTAAGCAGCATTTATTGTCCATCCCTAGTTGCCCAGAGGGCAGTTCAGAGTCAACCACATTGCTGTGGGTCTGGAGTCACATGTAGGCCAGTTGGCAGTTTCCTTTCCTAAAGGACATTAGTGAGCCAGGTGGGATTTCCCCTCAACAATCAACAATGGATTCATGGTCATCATTAGATTCTTAATTCCAGATATTTTTATTGAGTTCAAATTCCACCATCCACCATGGCAGGATTTGAACCCAGGCCCCAGAATGTTATCTGGGTCCCTGGATTAACAGTCCAGTGATAATACCACTAGGCCATTGCCTCCCCTAATAATATTTGATAACATTTGATTTCTTTCCAGTGCAAAGGGGACAAATTTATGAAATATTATAAGTAAATTAGAGCATCAGCCTGTCTACACTCTTCACTAATTATAACCCCAGGAAAAGAATCTATTAGAGGTCAAAAATGTATCATGAATGTGCGTGCGCAGACAGAAGACATGGCATGGTTCTTAACCTGGGAGGAGTGGGAAGCCCATGAGAAAACCAACAACAGTGTGCCCTATGATAGAACTAGGCAGGAGCTGAAATTTTGATTCTTAGGTGATGGGCTGGGATCCAGTGATTAAGTCAGTAGTGTGTTTGTGACATGTTGGGTGTCTTTTCATCAGAAATTGCTGGAGAAACTCTGAACAAAGCAAAATTAATGTTTTTGCTCCAGTGACCCTTCTTCAGAATTGCATTTGCCATTAGAATGTTCTGTCTGAAACTTAATTGAACTCTTTTTTTCAAAAGGATGTAACAAGGATGGCTGATGTAGCTAATGTATTTGATAGAGTATACTTGGATATTATCAAGGTTAACAAGGTCTATCTTTTGACGATATCTTCCATAGTAAACCAGGCAAAAGACTAAAGTTCTGGGAATCCAAAAGCAAGTGTTGAATCTAAAATAGGCATGTTTTTTGCAGCCTCTCATCTTCTTGCTATTATTATGGTACCTGATGCATTGCCACCTAGCATCTTAGATTTTGAAATCAAAAATATATAATTTGTGGTGAAAGTAATTTGTAGTGCATTTGGTGATTTTAACAGAAACAAGATTGTATTGAATCTTGTGCCACTAATATCTTCTTTGTGACCAAGGTTGTATTTTCATCATTCATATTTGTTCTTTTAACAGGGTGTGTTTGAAGATGGTCAGTGTGTGAATAGAAGAGTTTTTATTTGCAAGTTGAATTTTCTTCAATCATCAAGTCTAGGATGACACCCCTACGAGCAATTGCTATATTGACATGTGCTCTATTTATGCCTATTTACACAATGCCAAAGATGATAGATACTGTTTTAGTGAATTGTTCAGGAATTGGTTATCCACATTCTCCTTGTTTCCTGACACCAGATGTAGAGGTATTGGATCTGTCTTATAACAACATCACAATGATTCAACAGCAAAATTTCCAAAATCTTAACAAGCTGAGGAAACTTTTTCTTCAGTTCAATCACATCACTGCGATAGAACCTGGATCATTTGCAAAAAATTCAGAACTAAGGTATCTTGATCTTTCAAATAATCTTTTGCAGGATATTTCAGTCTTGCCATTTAACCATCTCCAGTCACTGACACACCTTGATATCACTAACAATATGTTTGATACAGCTGACTTTGGAGCAGAGATCAACAAACTACAGAAACTGCATTCTTTACGTTTTGGAAACACTCGTCTTTCTTCTTTAAACTCTGGTTCCTTATCTGTACTTCAAGGAATCCCACTTAAGGATGTTTATTTAATTACTGGAGACCTACAGGCATTTGAACCTGGAACATTTAATGCCTTGCAGAATGTAGAAAAACTCTCTCTTGATTTGCAGTTTGGCCAGGACGGAAAATTACTCATCAATATTTTTCAGGATATTCCAATGAGTACCACTACATTGGAAATTCTAAATTCTGACTTTGTTAAAAAAGCAAGTAATGTAGATTTCTTCTTCCCTCTGAAAAAGTTGAATATCTCGACACTAGTTGCACATAATATTACCATCGACGATTCTTTGACCACTTATTTACTCAACAGTGTTCTTGGTTCAAATATAAAAGAATTAGTTTTAGACACAATTATAATGGATGGCATTGGCAATTGGGACGTAATACCCATACCATCTGACCAGATTAATTTGCGCAAGCTTCAAATACTTAATGTAGAAAATCCAAATTTCTACCATTTTTACTCACTTGAGTATCTTATTGATATATTTGCACAACTGACAGAGTTAATGATACTAAAGGGAAACTTGTTTTATGTTCCATGTCAGATATCAGAAATTATGACGTACTTAAGACACTTGGACATATCTTTTAACTTGCTTCAAGAATTCAGCTTTATTCCTGGAAAATGCTCTGCTCCTTTTCCCAATCTTAATACTCTCATAGCAAACAACAATAAGTTTTCAAATCTACCAAAATTTAGCACATTATTATCTAAAATGGAGAAGTTGTCTAGTATAAATGCTAGTCATAATGATCTTGTACTACAGAAGGGATTGACCTGCACGTGGCCTCAGACTCTAAAGTGTATAAATTTTTCACACAATAACCTGGAAGGCAATGTGTTTGGCTGCTTGCCAGCATCATTGCAATCACTAGATTTGAGTTACAATTCCATCACTGCAGTTCCAAACCTCAAAGGGCTCAGAAATCTCCGTGAGATTTTTTTGACAGAAAATTTCATAGCATCTTTTCCTGAAATTCCAGTGGGTTACTCGCTGAAAGTCTTGCACATTGACCAAAATAAAATTACAGACATAAACATACGCTTTCTACAGTCCTTAGATCTAGCTGAACTCAAATTCAGCAATAATCCTCTGGAATGCTTCTGTGCAATTCAGTCAGTCTCTAATTATGTTCAACAAAGACGTGTAGTGATTCTTGATTGGCCAGACCGGTATCGATGTGAAAGTCCAAGAAAATTTAAGGGTCAAATTATCCAAGCCCTGAAATTTTCCCCAATTGAATGCAAAATTCCTTTATTTGTTGGGGTTCTTTTAGCGTGTGTTGCACTTTTGGTAGGTGTCTGTATTGTGCTGTGTATAAAGTTTAACATCACTTGGTATTGCCGCACACTCTGGCTCTGGCTTAAAGCTAAAAAAAGTCTAGATGCCAATCTGGTTGAAAAAAATTTTGAGTACAATGCTTTTGTTTCGTATAGTGAATATGATTCGGCATGGGTGAAGAACAAATTGCTCATACAGTTAGAAAATAATGAGCCACCTTACCGCATCTGTATCCACGAAAGAGACTTCAAACCTGGAAAACCAATAATTAATAATATAATTGATTGTATATCAAAAAGTTATAAAACCATATTTATCCTATCCAAACACTTCGTGCAAAGTGAATGGTGCCATTATGAATTCTTCTTTGCACACCAACAGATATTTGATGACAAAAAGGACAGTCTTATCTTGCTCCTGTTAGAACCTATTCCAAAGAATTCCATCCCAGATCGATTTTGTAAACTTAGGAAATTGATGAACAGAAACACTTATTTGGAATGGCCTCAGAATGAGTTTCAGCAGGGCTTCTTTTGGAAAAGGTTGAAAGCTGTCCTGAATTTGGATTTCCATTCATGCAGTTCAAGAGTAACTCTGCAAGGGGTTATCCAAGAACCTGATGAGATCCCTGATCGTGTTTAGATGAACACATACAAAAGTGGGTATTGAGGCCATAAAATTTGAGTTTTAATAAAAGCAAGTTAATAACTTGCCTTTACTGCTGTAGGAATTTTGTCCTAAATTTGTTTCCATTTAGATTTTCACCCCTCAATGGTGTTACAATAAATGATATAATATATAAATATCTGAAGAGGGAAATTTTACATATTTTGCTGTGGTATCCTCATCAAAAACACAGGTGATGTACACCACCACTTTTCATCGGATTCTCCTGGGTAAACAAAATATATTTTTACAGAACATAGTGGGTTTAAACTTTGAGTTGCCAATGTAAAAATCTGTCACTTTTGAACCAAATTTCAGGCCTATGTTACACATTCTCTCAATGCAGGACTGTGCTCATACTGACCAGTAATAATTGGCAACATTCTGTCATCCAGTAACATAACTCCATTCGGCTATCTCCTCAATTAAATAAAATAATACACCAACCGTCCCTGTTCCAGTGAACAAACTAGGTTAATTATTTCTCTAAGTGGGTGTATTAACACTAGTCCTTTTTCAACATTACCACTACAGATATTACCACTTCAAATGTTATCATTTGGTGGTTGTTAAACACTGTGTTGTGTAAGCCTTGGCATGCTTGTCCCTCGCATGTTTGCGCAAAGCATTGTCTCAACCATGGGTGTGTTAGCACTCTATACCATTTAAACTGTAGGGAATTATACATGCAGTGCTACTTTTTGTTGATAATCATTCCTGCAGAACATGAATGTTCCCTGCCTGCCTTATTGTCATTTACTGAATAAAATTACACATTCTATATAAAGAAAAGATAAAAGTATTTGATACAAGATGTTTGGAACATTGGAACCAGTGTAGGCATTGTTAAGCCTGCTCTGCCTTCCAGACAATCATGGCTGATGAGACACTTCAATGCTTTTTCCCCCCACACCATCCCCAAATTGCTTTGTTTCATCAGTATTTAGAAATATGTTAATCTGTGCTTTAAACATATTAAATGATGAGTTTCCATAGCTTTCCAGAGTAGACTATTCCAGAGATTCGAAAACCCCTCTGTAAAATGATTTCTCCTCAACTTAGTCCTAAGTGGCTTCCGCCTTATGCTGAAATTATAGCTTCTTGGTTCTACATCTGCCCTATTTATCCCTTTTGTTGGTTACAGTGAAATTCTATCTCTTGAGAATACGGGCCCAGTTGCCACAAGATTAGAAAATAACTTACGGAATAGGCACCAGAGTTGGTCTTGCCATGCAGCGATGCCTAAATCTCATGAATGAATTAAGGTCACTGGACTCAACGTTAACTGTTTTCTCTTCACAGATCTTGCTAGGCCTGCTGAACTTCTCCAGAAATTTGTTTATCACACATCCCCCATATTGCAGTTCTTTGTTTTAAAAAATAAGCTGTTAGTAAATAAGATTAGTGCCATTAAATTTTCAGATTAATTTTCCAGATCAGTAGAAAACCAAATTGACCTTTATCAACTGTGTAAATGATCTATTCAGTTCTGCCCTAACCCTTTCTATATTATGTCATTAGTACATTCCTCTCTCCTCCAGCATGACTCCATAACTCAACTGCACAAGCTCACACAAATGGAAAATACAAAAAAAAATGACATCACTTCTCCTCGCAAGAAGCACTTGAACAGATATCACAAAGGCTGATATCGTGCAGATACCTGGTGGTCAGTACGGAGATAAAGAGAAAACAGTTAACGTTGAGTCCAGTGACCTTAATTCATTCATGAGATAACTATACCGTGCACTTGGCTTAGCAACAGCCCTGGAGCTCTATTCATTCTTAAAAGAATCCAAAATGTGTCTAACGTTCACATGGGGTCTAATCTAAGTTTCAGGCTCTGGATCAGTACAGGAAAGGATGGAATCAGTGACTGATAGTTTTAATAACACACAACAAATATGCATAGACTCAGATTATTCAAAACAAACCTCTTTACCACACAAATCTGTAACTGTCTCACCTTGCTACACACAAACAAAAACAGAAATTGCTGGAACAACTCAGCAGGTCTGGCAGTATCTGTGGAGAAGAAACCACAGTTAACATTTTGGTTCGAGTTAGGGCCAGATCCATCATACTGCCAAAAGAACGCAGGAGTTGGTTATGGAAAATATTTTTATGCAGACATATTAGATACAGTTACCCTAGTATACAGCGGTGGAAACTGAAAAAAAATAAAACTTTACAAAGGTGAATGGAGAAATACTTGGAAGGAATAAACTAAAAAGAGGATTGGGATGGGACTAATATTTTGCAGAAATATTGGTAAAGAACTTTCCAGGGTAGACACAACAGACCAAATGGTAATTCTGTAAAATGCAGTTCCTTTGATACATGGCTGTATAGCTGGGAGTTATCTGATTGAATACAAAGGTGTATTATGCTCACAAATGTGCAATCAACAGAGACATGAAGCTAGTTGCCAAAGTTCAAAGGAAAATGTGCAAAAATTAGACAACCACATTTCTGGAGTGTTTTATGTTGAGCTGTAATGCAGAGGACTCATTTATATCATTGTAATTACTGTAAATAAATGCCTACACAGTCTTGTTCTTTTGTTAGTAAATAATAAATTTAGTTAATGGTTGATCACATGGCTAGGGTAAATTGTTTTGCATACCAACTTCAAGATTATTATGCACCAACATAATAAACAGAAGTAGCCTGTTTGGCACCTCAAGTCATTCAATAAGATAATGGCTGATCTGCTCAAGGTCTCAACTCCTCTTTCGTGCCAGCTCCTTATAGCCCTCAGTTCCCTGAAATGTCAAAAATCTATGTACCGAGTCTTTAAATATATTCAGCGATATAGCCACCATTTCCTTATTTTCCCATCATTATTAATTATATGTTGATAATCAATAATTATGGTAAAGTGAACAGATATTTTGCATCTGCCTTCACTGTTGAAGTTAGAAGTATCATGCCAGAACTAATTCCGAATCAAAAGGCAACAGGGAAGAAGCAACTTTAAATGTAATTACAATCATGAGGGAAAGGATGCTAAGGAAATTCCCATTATACATATTTGCAATGCAGAGTGATATCAACAGCACGGATTTAATTCCTACTGTAGCTGATGTTTACCAGGAAGACCCTGCTTCCTCAATGTTGCTGGAAGCACGGTGACCCTCAGGTTAAACCACTACTGAGTCTTTCTTATAGGACATAATTGCAATAAAAATTCACCAAATATTCTTAGACAGCACCTTCCAAACCAATGACCATATCCACCTAGAAGAACAAGAGCAGCATATTCATGGGAACCCTACCACCTGTAAGTTCCCTTCCAAGCCACTCACCATCTGGATTTGGAAATATATTGCCGTTCCTTCACAGTCGCTGGGTCAAAATCCTGGAATTCCCTCTGGGGGCAATGTGGGTCTACCTACAGCACAGGGACTGTAGTTCAAGAAGGTAGCTTACCACCACCTTTTCAAGGGGAACTAAGGATGGGCAATAAATGCTGGCCCAGCCAGCAAATTTCTGCAATTCAAACATCCAACCAAGTGTTGATATTATGGAGTTGCCTGTCACTGGCAATGTAATGACAAAGCAGCTCCACATACAGCTCAATGTTTTCATCCTCCTCCTCCTTCTTCTTCCATTCTCCCAGATCCTTAGCATCCAGCACATCACCTCGCTGCCTGCTCCTAGATCTAGACTTACCTACCAGAGAGAACTGAGAGACTGTTGTGTTCTGCTTCACGGAGACTTGGCTCACCCTGCCATTCCTGACTGTGCCCTACAAGCTGACAGGTTTTTCATACACTGCAAGGTGAAGGGTGGTGGGGTATGCTTCCTGATCAACACTTCTTGTTGCTTGGATGTAGAGACCCTGGCAAGCCACTGCTCCCTGGACCTAGAGTACCTTACAGTAAAATGCTGCCCCTACTACCTACCACAAGAGTTCACACCTGCCATCCTGACAGCAGTCTACACACCACCCATGCGGATGTGAGGAATGCCCTAGACGTGATTTACACACCACAAACACTCTAGAGACAAAAATTCCCCAAGTCCCTATTCATTGTGACCGGTGACTTCAACCAAGCCAACCTCAAGCAGGTGATGCCAAAATACCACCAACACATCTCCTACCCCACCAGGGGACCGAACATTCTGGACCACTGCTACACAACCATCAAAGACGCCTACCACTCCATTTCCCGCCCACACTTCGGAATATCCAACCGCAGCACTGTGTTTCTTCTCCCAGAAGCTGAACTGGACACTCCTTCATGAAACAAAATATAGTGCTGGTCCGAGGCAACAGAAGTCCATCTCTGGGACTGCTTGGACTCGGTGGACTGGACCATGTTCAGGTGTTCAGCGGAAAACCTAGATGAGTGTGCCACCACCGTCACAGGCTTCATTAGCAAATGCATGAAGGGCTGTGTACCAAAGAAATCAATCCGAGTGCTCCCCAACTGTAAACCTTGGATAAACCAGGAAACTCATTCCCTACCGAAGACCAGACATGCAACATTCAAGTCCAGTGACCTGGACCAAAACAGAAAATCCAGATATGACCTCTGCAAAGACATCAGAGAGGCCAAGAGGCAGTACCGGAACAAGTTAGAGGCCCAGACCTAGCAAACAGACTCCTGCTGTCTATGGTAAGGCCTAAATGACTTTACGGGATACAAATGAAACAGGGTAAGATAGCGGTCAATGACACACCCGTCCCTGACACGCTCAATGCTTTTTACGCTCAGTTTGAGCAGAATACCACCGGCATGGCAATGCCTGCCCTGACAGCCCCAGACACAGCTGTTCCCTCTGCCACCACTTCAGAAGTCTTCCTGGGAGTCAACCCAAGGAAATCGATGGGCCCAGACAGTTTCCCAGCCAAACACTCAGAACTTGTGAGGAGTTATTCACCTATATCTTCAACCTTTCCCACCTACAAGTCGAAGTCCCCACCTGTTTCAAGAAGACCACCATCATTCCCGTACTCAAGAAAACACATGCAGTGTGCCTTAATGACTACTGCCCAATAGCTCTGACTTCAATATGCATGAAGTGCTTCGAGAGGTTGGTCATGGCCCACATCAGCTCCAGTTTCCCAGCCTGCCTCGATCCCCTACAGTTTGCCTACCGACATAACAGGTCCACAGAGGATGCCATATCCCTAGCCCTGCACTCATTTCTGGAACACCTGGACAACAAGGACACCTACGTCAGACTCCTGTTTGTTGACTACAGCTCTGCCTTCAACACCATTATCCCCTACAGACTGATCTCAGAACTGCATGACCTTGGTCTTGGCTCTGCCCTCTGCAACCGGGTCCTCAGCTTCCTGACCCATAGGCTGCAGTGAGGATAGGTAACTGCACCTCCTCCACAATAACACTGGAGCCCCACAAGGATGCATCCTCAGCCCCCTACAGTATTTCCTGTACAAATAATTCCACTGACAACACCATGGTAGTGGGATGGATATCTAACAATGGCGAGTTAAAATACAGAAGGGTGGTAGAGGGCTTGGTGACGTGGTGCAATGAAAACAAGCTGTCTCTCAATATTGGCCAAAGTAAAGAACTCTTCATCAACTTCAGAAAGAAGGGAGGAGAACACACCCCCATCTACATCAACAGAACTGAGTTTGAAAGGGTAAAGAGCATCAAGTTCCTCGGAGTGACAATAACCGACAACCTCTCCTGGACTTCCCACATAGATGCAACAGTCAAGAAGGTACAATAATGCCTTTTCTTCCTCAGGCAACTCAGGAAATTTGGCATGTTCATAAGGTCCCTCACCAACTTCTACAGATTCACCATTGAAAGCATACTGCCCAGGTGCACAATAGCCTGGTATGGCAACTACTGTGCCCAGGACCGTAAGAAACTAGAGGGTTGGGTGCCCAGTTCAGACCATCATGAAAGCCAACCTTCCATCCATGGACATCATTTACATGGCTCGCTGCCATAGAAAGGCGGCCAATATCAAAGACCCATCGCACCCTGGTAATGACCTCCTACAACCTCTTCCGTCAGGCAGGAGATACAGAAACTTGAACACACGCACGAGCAGGTTCAGGAACAGCTTCTTTCCGGCCATTATCAGATTGTTGAATGGACTCTAGCCTCAAACAACGTAGCCTGCAATGTAACCTGTATGTCTCTAAGTTTTTTTGATCTATACATCTTTTGCTTGCCGTGATCTGCCTGTACTGCTCGTAAACATAGCTTTTCACTGTATTTCGGTACATGTGACAATAAAATCAATTTTGCAGTGTACAACACACCAGAATGATAGGACACATTTTGTCTGGACTACATGAGAGGCACTGCCAGACCGATCCAACAGCAGAATGGATTCTTCAGCAGCCCTATGTTCTATTCCACCACAGCCCTGGTCGAAGCATGGGCAGCACTGTATCTGCATCAGTCAAGAAGTTCCACAGAAGTGTCATCAGCAATGGCCATAGTAAGTAGCTGTTGTCCCCACTATGCAGCATTTTAGATACCTAGACCCTTAAGTGCAGCAGGATATAGATGTGGCAGATGCCAGGATAGCAAGGGCACACCTCCAGGACATGGAACTAGTGATCACGGATCACTTAAACATTAATGGAGCAACTCCGCTGTGTTGTGATATGGTTATCTCAGTACAAAATGCATACTGTTAATGGCCACCTGGGAAGCCAGCTTTATTTCCAAATCCTACTGTCCAGGCTGCAGCACTGGCCTCACTGCAGAAGCAAAAATGACAGGAATGATCCTATACAGAAAGCATTGATCACTGTCCTTTGCGTTGTTAGGCAGATGACTGAGAAATCTCACACAGTCCATACGTCACTCCTTGGAAGGAACGAGTCACATAGAAATTCAAAGCAGCTGTCACCTTTACAGTGACTGGGAGAGAATGATCTCTCACTCATGCAGGGCTCAAGTCCTGATCTGACAGCTAGCACAGCTCCTTCACAGCGTCCAGGACATACGGACTTTGCATCGACACTGTACTTCACTCATCCCATGGAAATAGATTTAAGAGTGAAATATTCTGGCCCTCCTACAGCCCTGAAAGACCCTGAAGGGCACTGCAGCTGTGACCTGTGCTGAAGCTGGGTGCTCTTTTTGCCAGTGTATGATTAATGCATTCCAGTGGTCTTCTATCCACAGAGTTGAAATCCACACTTCTGCCCATCTATCACTAACTCACCCACCTGGGCACAGGATGTCACAAAAAGCCTCACTCAATGTCTCACACGATGCTCCCAAATTTATTGCCATGGCCCACGCTGTTCAGGGCCTGAGAAGATTCTGCCTAAGCAATTAATGAGCAATGGGATAATGGTTGACCCTAAGTTGTACTGCAGAAACAGTCCATCACTTAATTCATTTTACAAAAGCATGTCTGCCGCAAGGTAGATTTAAGAATTACTAAAAGGAGACATGAAGGCTGTTTTGCATTGTACCGGAATGTATCATTAACAAAAGAGGTCCCTTTACACAATTTCAGCTCTGAGGAATTTAAAGCTAAGTTTCGGTTATGATCAAGAATAAAAGAAACAGTTTTTTAACTATAGGCTTTGAAATAAA